CAGCAAGGAGTATAAAAGAGGCAGCCAGCCTCATTCCTGTCTCTTATACACATCTAGATGTGTATAAGAGACAGGCACTAGTAGGAGCAGCGCTGGAAGGAGAAGATGCGCTGAGTGAAGGGAGAAGCCTGTATGCTGGAAATGATGCAGCCATAGCTGCCCAGCAAGTTAGCATTAGTAGTAGTGGGTTAGTATGTAGCTATGAGTAGTATCCAGAGTAGATCCTCATGAGTGAAGAGTGTGTATGCATCGTAGGAGGAAGGGACTGAGGCTGAAAGTGTTCATTCAAGGTTCGGCTATGGAAGATACTTACCTGGGTTAGATGTGACCTGCAGAGGTGGCGCTGAAGAAGTAGTGACCACATTGACGACTTGGAGATTGTCTGCAGATGTAGCGCTGATACATTGGAAGCCATATTGATGAGTTGATAAGAGATTGGTGTTGGGCTGATGAGCGTTGAACTCAGGAAAACTTTGAAACACTTTGTATTCATATTTCTGATAATATAAGTTGTGAAACTCGGTCCTCTTCTTCTCTATCTTTGTCTATGGTTGATACTATTGATCACTGCGTGTGAAGATGATGCATGACATGTACTCATTTGCGTGAGATGGTCCCTAGGACCCATGCAGTAGCAATTTCCTGAATGTCTCTGGCTGCACTTTGGTACAGCAGAGGATGTATCTGAGGGCAATCACGTTCAGAGCTTGGTATCTCTTTTCCCCTTTGTTTTTTTTTTTGTTTTTTTTTGGAAGCAGTATCTCGGCTGTTTGTGCTTCTGCTCCCCGTGAGAGACGGGGAGCATTCGATGCTTGCCGACCATTCCAAATTTCCAATCCCAGGGCTTCACTGTGATGTACCAATTTCCAGAATGTATCTGGCTGCACTTTGGTACAGCAGAGGATGTATCTGAGGGCAATCACGTTCAGAGCTTGGTATCTCTTTTCTCCTTTGTTTTTTTTTTTCGTTTTTTTTTCAGAAGCAAGTATCTTGACTGTTTGTGCTTCTGCTCCCCGTGAGAGACGGGGAGCATTCAATGTGTGGCAACCGTTTCAATTCCAGGGCTTCACTGTGACGTAGCACTTTCCAGAATGTATCTGGCTGCACTTCACTGCAGCAGTGGATGTATCTGAGGGCAATCACGTCCAGGGCTTGGTACCTCTTTTCCCCTTTTTTCTTTTTTTCCTTTTGAAGATTCCCGGCTGTTTGTGCTTCTGCTCCCCGCCTCTCCCGCATTCAACGAGATGTTTCCAGACGGATCTAGCTGCACTTCTGCCCAGGCCATTTTCATGTACACGAGTGGAAATAAGAAAACTATCGCCTCTTTACATTCCAGGTGCTGGCAGCAGGTCCAGAATAAGGGCAGTACCTGTGCCAAGCATCAAATGTCCCATGTTGGTTCCCGCCCCCTGCAGGCTTGGCAAAAACCGGCGCGCAGGGCATATTCAGGCTCAGCTTCAATAGCTGGGCCAAGTACTGGTGGTTTAATTTCCCGACCTCGGACGTTTTCGTCCACCTCAACACCAATATTGTTCCTATTCCTCGGTACCTTTTGAGATTAATCGGGGCTATTCTCGTTCGGCCTGGACAGTCTCTGGGTCAGACTTGTTGAGTTCCTATTCCTCGGTACCTTTTGGAGATTAATCGGGGCTATTCTTGTTTGGCCTGGACAGTCTCTGGGTCAGACTTGTTGACTATTGAGCTATTTGCTCATTTCCATACCTGGTCCATTTGGTTCTTCTATCAGTAGGCCTTGCCAGACGAGGACTGCTATGGATGGATTCTCTTGGGCTTGAGCATCAGTGGGTCCCATACATGGTAAACAACCCCAGCCATAGCTCATTCCCGCCTCCCTGTCAGAGATGCTGGGTCTGCGCTGTGTCCTTCCCAGATGGAGTGGCCAGGTCTGACCACTCTTTGCATGTGGGCACCACACTTGCAGTCTGGCTGAGCGCCTGTTCGACCTGGTTTGGATTGAACCTGGTATGAAAGAACACCAGATCCTGCCTCCCTGCCCCCTTAGTACCAGGTCCTTACTCTTTGCTGAAGCGGGCCTACTAGTCAGCGTCAACATGTGCATGTTAATTCCCTCTCTGGGTTGGAGGGGACAGATCGAAGGCTGGGCTGCTGTTCCCCTTTGCTGAGCAGCCCCCTAACCAGCCTCAACTTGCACATTTTTTCTGCCTCTTTGAATGTTAGGGACAGATTGAAAGGGGGGCTGCTGTTTCCTGAGGCCTTGAGGCCCCTCCCAAAGAGCCTGAAGATCCAGTGCTAGCGGAGTCGACGTCATGGCACCTACTGGTATGGACTTAGGCTCTGGCCATGGCCCTCACAATAGCAGGGGAAGGGGCACAGGTGCTCCTGATGCTCCTGCAACACAGTCAAAACTTTGGCACTCCCTGTCTGTGTTTGGAATGGTGACATGGCTGCTTCCTGATGTCTACAGAGTTGACAGAGATGCCCAGCATGGCGTGCACAGAAGGAGGGTGACGAGGGGGAGAGGGAAGGCCCACTATTGATAACAGAGTTAACAGAGAGGACCCCCATCCATGATGATAGTTAACAGAGCTGTCCTTCAGTGAGAATGGAGAGCACAACGTACTCTAAAAGTTCTGAGATTTGGAAGCAGGGCTCGCCTTAGTCGCTGCTCCTGTTAGCGGACAGGCCCTGACAAGGCCTTCCGAAAGGATCGGAAGTTGCACAGGGCACTATGGGGTTCAGTTGAGGTCAGGAATCTCGAAGAAAACTCAGACAGGGTATTGGGGGGAAGAGAGAGAGAGAGAGAGAGAGAGTCGAACGTCCGAACTAGTCCTTTCTGCTATTAATTCCTCTGAGGGCGTATGACTCTAGGAAGTTGCTTGTGGAGCAGAGATGTTCTCAATTTGTGTATGCTGCGCCTTCGATACATGTATGTATGTATTATGTACTTGCTTTCATGGCTCACGGTCTTTCTTTTTCCCAGTTTTTGAAAGAGGGTAATACATTTATGTATGTATTATGTACTTGCTTTCATGCCTCTCAGTCTTTCTTTTTCCCAGTTTTTGACAGAGGGTAATTGTTGACTTGCTGTACCTAGCAGGGCTGAATTTTTGGGCGTGTTGAGCAATGTTCTAGTTCTGTGCCTATCAGCTAACAGCCAGCTACATCATGCATCTTGTTCTGCCAACGGTCCAGGTTATTGAGTTGATAATCACTCTGTTATGAAAAGGTTAGTGAACAGAGTTTTCCTGCTTTGCGAGACGGAATGCTGAGGTTTCGAAGAGGGTAGCGGGGCTGTCACCTACTCTAAGCCTGGCTGTGGTTAGGAACTCTCTCAGTGCCTTCAGAGGCAAAACACATGCTGAAAGTGATGACGTGCCATTGACCCTATTGAACAGACCAAGGACAAGACATCTGAAGATGTGGACTCAGGAGGGAGGAATTGCCATCATGTCATTCGACATGTTGAAGCTGTAGTCACGAGAAGCTCAGGCCAGTTGTTGTCAAGGAAAACAGTTGAAGCAGCAGGGGGAAGAGCGCAGTCTGAGCTGAAGGAAAGAAGGAAAGAAGAAGGTGATCAATTGGTCATCGGCGCATTTGAAAAGGCCCCCATAAGCTGCCTTCTGCAACATCTCCTAAATCGGTTATTGGCGATGCATGCCGGTCTATATTTTTGGGAATTCAAGACGAGAATGCTGTGTGCGCCTGTGACGCTTGTAGAACTAAGGGGATTGGTCATGGTCTTTTCTTTTGTGTTCCTTTTTTTTTTGTTTTTACTGCGGTGTCTCTTTTCTGAAAGGGATGATGACAGCAAGAAAGCGAGAAGTAATCAACAATCAAATAAATCGTCAACACAGCATGCAAGTGGCAATCAATGCTACGAAGTTGACCCCAAAGCAACAGCTCAAGTCGAAAATCAGTGCAAAACCTGTCAAGGAAGCACAGTAAACGCAAAAGGGATGGCCCCTAACATGATGGACTAGCACAGTCTTGCCGCAGACTTAGCAGACGTCTTAGCACAGACCTAGCACAGACTTAGCACAGACATAGCATGGACTTAGCACAGGTAAGGCACCGGAGGCACCTGGCCGCTGCACTGTGCTTGTCTGTGCCATGTCAACAGCAGGTGTCTGGTGAGTCTGTATGGCCTCCTTGCCAGTTGAACCATTGTTAAGGGCCACACCCTGTTGGTCTTATGCCCGTGCTCAGGAATCGTATGAACCCGGTGGTAAAACTCGCCAGGTTCACGGCATGAATAATAATAGCAGTGAGACCTGAGTATGCTCAGATGTAGCCGGAGTGGGGATTCCCAACAACCGGGAGGGCACAGCCAGAAGACCGGGACGATATTAGTCAGGATGCATATTGTTTTTTTCCCCCCTCTTTCTTTCCTTTTTTCACCCGCCTCTGGGGGACTCCAGTCCGGTTGCTTATGACTGGCAAGCATGTTTTTACAACTGAAGGAAAGAGGGGGAGAAAGACAAGAGAAAGGGTCAGCCCATCCCTTGTGGCAATAGTCGCCTGGCAAGGTGGAGACTGCTACAGGGCGTCCCTCCCCCAAACCATGACCTTTCTCAGGGGGTTTCCCTGCTGGTCGGGAGGCTTATTTCTGCGGCTAAAGCTATAGCATTGCATGGATGTTTACTTCATCGTAGTTAGGGAAGATTTGCAGTTAAGACTTTCCAGGGTGTATCTGATTCAAGACTACCATGTTCAGTGTTTGTCTTTTTAGTGTACTCTTAGTGATCTTAAGCTGAGTTATAGAATGATGTTGTAATTAGTACTGATATCTATGTACCCGGGATGTGAAGTATCGCCCAGGCCATTCTGGGAAGGAGCTGGAAGACTTGAATGTGCTAAGGATGTTGGTTTACATCAATCCGTGATGGTGTTTCTGTCTGCAAGATGCTGATGAATGCTGTGGCTGGTGCTTTGTTTACTGCATGTGGCGATTGGTTTTCTCGGGGGTGCAATCCTGGTTAAATAGCTTCATACACTTGACGAGCGTAGAGGGGGATCCGTGCTGATGAGAGACAATAAAGCATCGACTTCCAGAGAGTCGCTGCCGCCAAAGCAGGAGCATGCACTTGTGGTTGCATTTACAAGTCTTCAAAGGGTGAGTTTTGTCCCAAGTGCAGCCCCGTTCTCTTGTTTAAACCTCTTTTGGGATTTGGAAAATTTTGTCCTTTGGATTTCAAACGGCTCCATGAATCCTACTGTCACTTTGCTGACACTGTTGTGGTTTTTGCCATGCTGATCGCAGTCCTCCAAGCTGAAGGTCACAGGTTAAGGAGTGGGCAGTGGGAAGGAGGGGGAGGAGAAGGGATGAAGTTTGGACAGACATGACTTTGAGCAGAGAATGTCTTCTGGGAGGGGGGGGGTGGAGAATTTCCAATGATGCATCTGATGTTTTGGAATCCTTATTGCAATGAACCGCCCTGGATTCAACTCCAAATCAGCACTTGCAGCAGACCGAAATTCACATAAGCATCGAGATGGCAAATGAGTTCGCACTGAGATTAAAGCTCTTCACAACATCTATTATTAATTTATTATACAAGAATTGGGTTCCGATGTCCAGCAGCAACAGCAGTAACCCAAAACCATAAAGATCGGGTAACAGTTCCCTTTCCCTGACTTGCCCTCTCTCTCTCTCTCTCTCTCTCTCTCTCTCTCTCTCTCTCTCTCTCTCTCTCTCTCTCTCTCTCTCTCTCTCTCTCGATTCTTCAGACACGCAGCCTCACTCGCCCGCTAGCTCCCTCTCTGTTCTTGGACCGCTCACACTCGTTTCCTCAATGCACTCGCTGTCCCCCTCAAGTATCCTAAGCTCAGGCTATGGTCGCCATCTTTGTCCCCGGCATCCCTAGTCATGGCGCTGCTTTACTTCTCCTTCGCCAATGCCACATGCCCAACTTCGTCCTAGGTCGCGGAAATACTACAGCTGAGCTTCCACAACAAAAGAATTGATAAGTCAAGAGGTACTGTAGCATCTATACGTAGGATCTCTGATTGACGTTTTCTGTCGCCTCCGGACCGGTACTGGTCTCCGTGGCCTGTCGGTTGCAATTGTCAGTTCCGGAACTTTCTGGACTCTCCCAGGATACTGCTGAATAATTGGACTTTGGGACTTTGGGGTACGGGTCTGACTCCTAAAGACCTACGACGTTTTGGCTACTGGACCCCTACCGTACTTCTACTGGACCTATGGGACGTGAACGGTCGGTTCGTCTGCTGGGCCGGACCCGTAGTTCTACTGGACCAACTAGACGTGAATGGTCGGCTCGGCTGCTGGGCCGGACAGCTCATGGGACTGGGACCAAATTGGACTCTGGGACTCGGGACACTGACACAGCGTGAAATCCTTTCAACATATGGTTGGGCCAATGTTGGCCAAATACACACCCCAGATTGCACCACTGTGTTGGTGCACCGCGCAGCACTCCCTGCAGGTGCACCGCAAGTATGGTATTCACACAGTGGTTTCTGGTGTTTGTTTTGTGATGTGTGGCAGGCTTTGGGGAGGGGCTACCTTAATGTCTTGAGTGAGAAACAGGCGAGAGTTGATTCAAAATGCCTTAGGATGATCCATGATCACACTGACCTGCTGTATATCTTCGTCTCAGGAGGTAAAGGTGCCGGAATCTCAAGTGAGAATTTGGATGGGGACGCTCCCTGGAGCGGAATTGCTATCCTCAACGGAGTAGCGGAGGAGAGCGGTCTCTGAGAAGCCAGGAGAATGTAACGGAGCACACAGGCCTTACTTTGTCTCAAATGGGGAGTGATGCCCACGAAGGAAAGCACCGAGCAACAGATGATAACCAGGGAAAGCACTCAGAAGGCCACCTGAGTGAAGTCACAGGTAATCATGCCTCCTGTGGGAGGAGCACACCGGCTGCGATTGCTGTCGATAACGATTCCGATGGTGGCAAACTGCGGGTATTGGATCAGCCAAAAGTTGTCAGACAACAGCAGAAGTGAGCAATGGAGAATGGTGGACCTCTGCATATGAATGAAGTCTCAAGAGATGGAGATGGAGGTGAAAAGGGTGAGGCTGAGAAGTGTTGCACTTTCTCATTCATTTAGAAGGCAATCTGCTGAAGCATGGACACGTGAGGGGAAGCCAGAAGAGCAGCGGGAAAATTGAAGTGCGCATGCAGATGCTTGAGTGGTGCAGGAAAGAGAACGAGAAAGTGGTTGTCTTCTCAAGGAGGAAGGCATTGCTTGTAATTCTGGATGAATTCCTGCAGAAGAAGGTAAGCAATTTGTCGAACTTGTGTTTCCCTCGACTTACAAAACTATGTGGCTGGATGATTGTGATGCCAGACGATAATGAAACACACAAGCCGTACATGCAAGCACACGCAATCGGGCACGTACGACGCTCGAGCGCAAGGGATCCATGTGGCTCATGAGCATGAAAAAAAAGAACGTTGGCTGAGTAATGTCGCCACCTAACGATCAAGACTGATGTTCCCCAGACCTATTCGAGCCTATTTCTGATGCTGAATGAGACAAAGGAAAATTTGCGCTGCTCTACTTGAACAGGATCTCTTCCTTAGGTAGTATGTTCTTCTGCATCTACGGAAACAGCAAAAAAAGAAGACAATAAAATTATAAAACCAGAAATTGTTGTTGGTGCAGGCAGGTACCGCGTGTCGCACGGTGCACTGCACCACACGACTGTGCGACTCGTGTGGTTGCATGTATGACATGAGCTGATCACCTTATTCTGGAGCATTGAGTCCGGCATTGGAAAGCAAATGCTAAGAGGCTAATTGTCACATACCCATATGTGAATGACAAGGATGGCACAGATCAGGAGGATCAGCCCCAACATAGAGATCATGGGAGCACAGCGGAAGACTGAAAACTCAGACAAGACTCTGGAATGACTTCATGCATACATCCATCACGCAGGTGAGAGGGGACAGTGCTGCAATTATAGAAGAGGCACTGTCCCAGTACACACACACGGATGAAGGGAGGAGGGAGATGGGGATGAAGGGAGGAAGAGGAGGAGGACACCAATCCCAAAGTACCACCTGTCAAGGGCTCTCGCATCCCCCAAGTCCCCGTACAATGTTCCGAAATGGGCAATCGCCCAATCTCTGATCTCAAACAACTCTCTCTCTCTTTCTCTCTCAATAGAAGAAGAAGAAGAAGAAGAAGAAGAAGAAGACTGCGTGATGGAGGAAAGGAGGAGGGCCGGAGTGAAAGCGAAGAAGAAGAAAATATCCTCTCTCTCTCTCTCTCTCTCTCTCTCTCTCTCTCTCTCTCTCTCTCTCTCTCTCTCTCTCTCTCTCTCTCTCTCTCTCTCGTGTGTGTGTGTGTGTGTGTGTGTGTGTGTGTGTGGATCCCCCTCTGTGTGCATGTGGTGTTGTGCCTGAAGATGTGGAGCGTTCCATTCACTCTCGAGTTAGCGAGGAAATAGGTGAGTGCTTGTGGCCTAGCGAAGTGCTCCCTCCCTCCCTACCTGCCTCTCCCTCCCTCCCTCCCTCTCCCTCCCTCCCTACCTCGCTCACTGCCTCCCTCCCTCTCCCTCCCCCTCCCTCCCTCCCTCCCTCCCTCTCTTCCGCCCACCAGACCTCTCTCCTAGTGGTTTTGTGCGTGAAGAGGTGGAGGGTTCCGTTCACGCTCGGACCCAAAACCAAAATAGGTGGGTTCCCCTGGCAAATGCGAAGTGCACCGACTCTCTTTCCCCCTACCTCCCTACATCCCCCCTCGTCTCCTCCCACCATCCATGCTTAGGGCTGCAACTCCATTTTAGGTGGGGTTGCCATCTTGCAAGAGGGACTCGATTTTTGCACGGCCACTATCGGACGCAGTAGACGGGGATCATGCCGTGCATGTGGACAGGCAGGGGGAGAAGGAACAGTAGGGGGAGGTCGAATGCCTGGTCGCCATCAAAATTTTAGAAGCCGGAATAGTGGGAGAAGGGCCAAGGGGGAGGGGGAGGATGCGGAATCAGGAAAATGAGAGAGTGGGGATATGGTCGGTCAGAGGGCGGGATGTGACGGCAGAGGAAGCAGAAGAAGAGTCACCGAGATAACGTGAAGCATGCAGGGTAAGTTTGATGGCGTGGAGGAGGTTGTGGAAGAGGAAGACGTTGAGGAGAGTCCTAAAATAAACGGGAGGAGGATGTGGGTTGGGGACCCAATTTGCGGAGAAGGGGATGGGCAGCGCGGATTGGGAGGGGGCTAATCAGGATGTGGGATCAAGAGGAGGAGGAGGTCGGAATGCCAGCCAAGTAGGGTGAGGATGGGAGGGGGTCAATCAGGATGTGGGATTGAGAGGAGTAGGTCGGAATGCCAGCCAATCAGGGTGAGGATGTAGGAGCTGTTGAAGTTCAGGGGAAAGAAGGCCAAGGCAACGGGTAAGGAATGCAGGTCGTGTAAGGGGATCCGGGGTAGAAGAGTTTGCCAGGCAGGAAAAGGATCTCAGAACGAGGGAAGAGAACAGGTAAGGAAAGGAGAGAGCAGATATTGTAATGATCCCAGAGTGGAAGATACTCATCAGACGTCGAAGTACAAGTAGACTCAGATCTGCACAATGTCTCCAGTAATCGTGAAAGTGATATCTGATACAGCATCTCGTTACCATTAGACGAAGAGAGCGGAGGGGGAATAGACAGATGAGAGGGTGGAAGAGATAATCAGTGACCACAAAAGAGTAGCCCAAATATATCATCCACTCCTCTGGGCTTCCCCTCGCCTCCACTTCATCAATCCTGGCCGCAACCAGTCACCTCATGTAGACAGCGTGGCCAATGCCACGTCAGCAGTAGAGACAGGTGGCATACGCCACATCAGCAATGTAGACAGGTGGCCTGTGCCACATCAGCAATGAAGACAGATGGCCTGCGCCACATCAGCAACATGGACACGTGGCATGCGCCACATCTTCAATGAAGACAGGTGGCATGCGCAACATCAGCAATGAAGACAGGTAGCATGCGCCACGTCAGCAGAGGCTGGCGCTCAGCAGAGAAGGCGCCAGCATGCTGCCACAGTCCCACGTCGTCGTCCACAGTACCAGCGTCGAGCCAGCGTCAAGCCCAGCGTCGAGCCAGCGTCAAGCCAGCTATCAGCTAGAGTCAAGCCAGCGTCGAGGCAGCATAGCGAGACTGAATGTTGACCTTCTGGAGAGCAAGCCTTATGTAGTGTTTGACGAGGCTGTCTGGCCTCAGGTCTCCCTCCCACAGTCGTACAGATTGACTCACAGCCAAGGGACTAGACTGTGTACAGTTGCAGACTTCCACTTGGTCCCGATGCTGTCTTGGTACCTGCATACAAACAAGTGTGTGCGTCTGACCGGCGGCCTGGGCTGGGTACACTTTGACTTTGACTGTTGGGCGTCAGGCAGTTGACTTCGGTCAACTGTTGCCCGCTCAGGCCCTGAATCTACTTGGGGTCTTTTCTCCCCTGTGGCCTGGGTCTGAGTGGTGGCCTGGCGAGGCCCTTAGACATTCTACGAGCCATACCTCATGGGTTATTGCAATAATGTTGAACGGCCTCAATCACAGAAGGGATAGGGTATGTCGATATGAAGGTGATGGAAAGAGAGCAATGAATAGAGAAAGAGCAACAGACAGAGGAAAAGAGGAAAGGACATACCAGATCCACAGAGGCCACATCGAGTGTTGGAGGCGGAGGAACTCGAAGAGGATCCTAATGGAGGAGAAAAAGGCATGGAGAAAGATGGGAGGAGAGAGGCGACAGACACAGGACAAGAAGAGAAGCGGCTGTGGAAAAGCGGATTTCTGGGGGGATGATCAGGAGGGGGGGATGGAGGACACAAGTCATAAGATGGAGTCGAATTGGCGGAAGGGAGGCAATGGAGAAGGAAGAAAGGGAAAATTTTGAGCGGGTAGGGGGGGGTGAGAGAGAGAGAGAGAGAGAGAGCCCATTTGCACGCTGCCACGTATCAGAAGGTTGGGGCGCGCGCGTGCAAGAGAGAGAGAGAGAGAGAGAGAGAGAGAGAGAGAGAGAGAGAGAGAGAGAGAGAGAGAGAGAGATTTTCAGGAGGGGGGATGGAGGACACAAGTCATAAGATGGAATCGAATTGGCAGAAGGAGGGCAATGGAGAAGGAAGAAGGGGAAAATTTTGAGCAGGTAGGGGGGTGAGAGAGAGAGAGAGAGAGAGAGAGAGAGAGCCCAGTTGCACGCTGCCATGTGTCAGAAGGTTGGGGCGCCCGCGCGCAAGAGATAGAGATATATATATGGGCTTGAGTGGAAGGAAACTACGGCTACAGATGGCTCGTGTACCTTTTTAGGTATGCATCTACGAGTACGTTCTGATGGTTCGCTTCGCATGAGCGTGTTTGATAAAG